AGGACGTCATCCTCTGGGTAATAAGAATCCCTGAGGGCTTTAAACTGGAGACTGACATCACCTGATCAGCATTCTAGGAAGATTACTCCAGCTGCACTGTGGAGGGCAGAATGAAGGGGGCAAAACCATGGCCAGAGATTCTTCACAGAGGGGTGGAGAGGAGAGATTTGAGAGACTGACAAAATTCAAAAACTGATTAGACCCTCACAATCCTCAAAGACCCCAAAGTCTGAATATACCTTGTCCACATGCCACAATTTCTTTGAAGACCAAGGACACTTGGCTCTAACGGCAGCTTGGTCCAGGACCGCACAGCTCAGCAGTTCTGTGCTCTGAGCTCTTAATGCACCAGTCTCCTACAGAGGTAGCAGTCATGGCAGGTAGATGAGCATTTATCTAAATGTTACTCTGAGCTCATGTCCTACAGAAGAGCAGATCAATGATTACAAGAGCCAATTACCAACAGATGGTTCCTGCCCACGAACTATCCACATCTTATTATCCAGGTCTCTTAGACTCACATCTCCACTTAGGTCTTTAACAGGCAACTCAAATGGACATATCCCCCCTCTCTAAAACTAATCTTTCAGGAGTAAAAGGAGCTGTTTCATCAAGGCCCTCATGTAAAAACAAAAAAACAAACCTGGATTATCACTGCCTTCACTTTTTTCCTTAAACTCTACATCCAATTGTCAATATACACTGTGTGGTCTGACCTTCTGCATAAGTCCAGCATCCAGTCACTCCCCAATCAGCTCCAGCACTGTGCAGATCTAATACATCAGTCTTTGTTACTGAGATGGCTGTGGTATCTCCCAACTGGTCTCCCTGCTACACTGCCCCTAATCTCCCTCCACTCAGCAGCCAGAGTGAGCCTTTAAAAACCCACAGGATATCACATAACTAGCGTCATTGCTCAAAATTCTCTGAAGCTCCTTATTTTACTCAAAACCCAAAGACTTTACAAAGGCCCTTGATGTCCCTTACCATCTCGGTACTACAACATTCCCACACATTCTTCTCTAGTGTCATTTCCCATCATTCTCCTCCACACATGTGTCACCCATTCTAACAATAATGGTTTCCTTGGTGTGCCTCAAAAACACACCCAACATACTTCTGCTTCAAGGATTTTGCACCTGCAGTTCCCTCCGTCTGACAGTCCCCCAATTCTACTACTATACAGCTGCTCCCTCAAGATCTCTGCTCAAACGACACATGAATTTTTACAGATGCTGTCCGTGGTCCTCCCTCTACACAATACCTATCCCAACTCTCTTTTCTTTGATACTGTTTAACTGATCTCCTTGGTAGTGACCACCATCAAGATGGGAAGTTCATTAACTTGCTTGCTTTTGACCGTGACCATCTTTCTTCACTAGAATGTAAATTTCCCAAAAGAGGGGAACAATACTGTCTGGCATATAGTAGGCACCTGGTAAATATTTTGGGGGCAACAACATGAATTAAGTAAATGTTTGGCTTTTAAACACACACTTTATTTCACCCTTTGTGATGATGTCTCCCTAACAAAGATGCTCTATCTGAGAGAGGAAATTTTATCTCCTGATTGTCTCTTCAGTCAAAAGAACACAGTAAGACTGTCATGTGAGAAGTGCTCAACAGGTAATCTAGTCAAAAGAAAAGGAATTTCTAATAAAATGTCACTTGACATGAAAGCATTTTGTGTGAGTTGTAGCTTAATTTGGGCACAGTAAATGTGCATTAGTTTCACTTGGCTGCTGTAACAAATGAACACATTTCATGGTTTATAATGTAGAACTGTATCCTCTCACCATTTGGAACTCAGAAGTCTGAAAAGTTTTACTGGAAAGAAACAAAGGTGTTGGCAGGGCCTCGCTTCCTCCTCCCAAAGCTCTAGAGGAGAGTCTGTTCCTGGCATTCTCCCAGCCTCTAGGGGTTGTAGGCATTAGTTAGTTGCATAACCCAATTTCTACCTCTTGGTCACACTGCTTTCTCATAGTCTATGGTACCATCTTCCTTAAAAGGATGCTTGTGGTTGCAGTTAGGGGCAACCTGGAAAATCCACAATAATCTCCCTATCTCAAGATGTGTAATTTAATCACATCTTTTGCCAGATAATATTCACCCTTTGGCCATGTAGGGTAACACTCACAGATTCCAGGTATTAGGACCTGATACCTATTTTTTTTTTAACTGCCTGTCCCATCACCCATGTTAACATGTCTACCCTCCAGTCCATGAATAATTCTGTCCTTGCCCCCCACACCCAATAACCATCATAGAATGTTTTTTTTTTTTTTAATCAAGAAAACCTTTCCTTAATTTCTTACAATAGTGGTCCCAAATAATATATGCCCTTTATGACTGACTAATTTTATTCAGCATAATACCCTCCAGTTTCATTCATGTTGTAAGGTGTTTTGCAGATTTACAGTTATTCTTAAAAGTTGCATAGTATTCTATTGTGTTTATGTTCCAAAGCTTGTTTAGCCGTTCTTCTGTTGATAGGCACTTAGGTGGTCTCTTTCTTTTTGCTACTGTGAGTAGTGCTTCAATGAACATGGATGGATATTGGTGATGGTGGTTATATGCCGTGGAGTCGATTTCGACTCATAGCGACCCTGTACAGGGTTTCCGAGGCTGTAAATCTTTACAGGAGCAGAAAGCCTCATCCTTCTCCCGCGGAACAGGAGTTTCGAACTGCTGAGCTTGAAATTAACAGCCTGATTCAAAACCACTACAGTATCAGAGCTCTCTCTTTCTCTCTCTCTCTATCTATCTAGCTATAGATTCCCAACTTTTTGAGAAAGCATCAGACTGCTTTACACAGCGCTTGCTCCATTTTACAGTCCCACCAGCTGTGGAGGAGGATCCCAGTCTCTCTACACCCTCACCAGCATTTGTTTTCTCGTGTGTTTTTGAACTTTGCTAATAATGCTGGAATAAGATGTTATCTCATTGTTGTTCTGAGTTGTATCTCTCTAATGGCTAATGATCATGAGCATGTCTTCATTTTGTTGGCCACCTGAAATGTCTTCTTTCGTGAAGTGCCAGTTCATGTCCTCTGCCTGTTTTTTTGTTGAGTCGTTGAAGTAGTCTAGAAATTTTAGAGGGCAGTCCTTTGTCTGATATGTCATTGAAAAAAATGTTTTTCCCAGTCTGTGAGGACCTAAAATTTTGAGGGGTCATTACTCAGTTTACCATAGAAAGTATTTCCTGTAGCAAGCAGTAAACTTAAGGCAGATTTCCCTTGTCATTCTCCAAAAGAAAAGAAAATCAGAAATGAAACAAAAGTGGGGGAGAAAACACATCTGGTCCATTTGAGGAACTAAAAAACATCAAAATTATACGTTTATTGGACAAGTAACCTCCGAGAAGGGGTAGGGAGGCTAGGGAATCATTTTTGCTCTCCTAGACCACTGGGCCCAACTTCCTTCCCTTTTTCCTACCAGTATGACTATCAGAGCTGTGTTTACTTAGTACAGGAGAACAGCTACCCCCAGATGTAACTAAGAAAGAAAGCAAAGAAAACCTAAATCATACCAAAGCAAAAGCTCAGCAGATCTCACCTCAAATGTAATTAACAATGCTTGTTTTGTTCATAACAATCTTTGAATTAGTACATTTGATCTTCCCCTTTTCAGAGAAGAGTGAAATTTTAAATAGCCATGTCTCTTTATGAATAAAAAAACAAGCGTTACGACTTTTCTAAAACTTGATGTTATGGCGCTTAGGATCAATACTAGATTGTGAGCCACAAGGTCATCAGTTCAAACCCATCAGTTGCTTCTCAGAAACCTTATATGGGGTCAGGGGCTGGTGGATTTGAACCACTGACTTTGCGGTTCAAAACGACTTTGAGGTCCAGTGCTCTTCCTACAGCACCATACCAGGTGCTTGGTTATGTACAGTGGAGTTGGTTCCGACGCATAGCGACCCTGTACAGGGTTTCCAAGGCTGTAAGTCTTTACGGGAGCAGAAAGCCTCATCTTTCTCCCGTGGAACAGCTGGTAGTTTCGAACTGCTGACCTTAAGGTTCGCAGACCGAGTCATAACCACTACGCTACCAGAGCTCCTTCCCCACGTGCTTACAATGTGACAAGTTCTACGCTGAAGTCTTTACACGCATTACCTTACTTAAACCTCTCCAAAACTGAAGCCGTGAAGAACGATTACTGCTCCCATTTTGCACGTAAGGCTAGTAATGCTTAGTGAGGAGCACGATCCCAGGTTTGTTTGCTCCAGAGTCTCAACTCTGTTTGTCTGTTTGTCAGGTTATTATTGGAATAATATCTCCTGCTATTTGTACCTCAGCTACCTTTTACTTGTTTTTCTTAGGGTTTAGCTGTATATTTTTAAAAGGCAGGAAAAAATGTCTGCTCTTAAGTTATCTAATATAAGACAAGCACCAGGTGTGGATGAAATAACTGTAAATGAGCTTTGGGCCCCTTCTGCAGAACAGCAAAATTTCATTTATCCAGGCACATAAGGGTCAGATAATTATCTCTCACAAAATATTCCCAAATCTTATTATAGACAGTAAGTCTGGTCTCTCCTCCATTAAACTATTACCAAGCAAGCAGAATGATTTGGTTTTAACTTTCTCTCTCCACCATCAATAAATTTAATGAAGAAGCAAAGGGTCCAAGCAAAGGGAAATGGGAAAACAAGAACCCTGACTAACCAATAAAACTAACCACATGCTCCATAAATAGCTAACGTCAACTGGGCTTCGGGAAATTAAAGGAAGATTAAAATTAAAAAATTTAAAAAGTAGCACCATGCTAAACATTGTAAAGGTCACAAATGTGTTTTCATGGCATGGAAAAAAAGAATGTATCTTACAATTTATGCACATGAAAGAATCTGAGCACTGAATGGTTATCGCACCATGATGATAACATTGAGGTGAAAATACTTTGGTTCCCAGAAGCTGTTCAAGAATTCATATTCCTTTGGAACATCCTCAGCGAATCTAAAATAACATGGGTTATTACAGAGACAAGCACAAGCACCTTTATAGATATCCCCCAGCCAATAATTAGTGTCACGTTGTCCTTCCAGCACAGGCTGCAGGGATACATATCTGGACGAAGGCTTATATCATCTCGGGGCACATTGGTGATTCTTTGCTTTGAGGTGATGTCGAAAATCTTCACACCCTGGAAAATAAAGTAGCATTAAACATCCCCTGCTTGGGACGAGGAAAATAAAGGGAAATTTATTAACAGCCACTGCGGCGGCATGCCAGCAATAACTGGCACTGACCATGTTTACTGAGAATTGCTGGCAGCTGTGCAAAGGAAAATCCTTCTGCTCCATACAAACCCTTGTGAGAACCAAAAGCAAAACAAAAGATCTCTTTCTTTCTGGGCAAAGGAGGTTTTATGAGGGATGATGTAGGTGGCTCGACCCCAGTACGAATCTGAAATGAAGAGCGATGAACAAGCACCTTGCCCCAAATGACAGACAAGTCTCACTTACACAAAAACAGGGTTCATGTTTTAGAAAAACTCCGAATCTGGAAAATCACTATATAAAGGAAACTATACTTGACATTTTAAGTTGGAAACACCAAGCCAGCTACTAGCTAAAAAGAAATCAAGAGGCCACATGTTTGTTTATCTTAACTCAGAGAAGTAATAAAAGTCCTGAGGAGCGAGGTGGATTCCGAGAGATTCCTAGCATTTAAAACTGAATAAAATTGGTTTAGTAAATTACACACCTTGATATTCTAAAAGACCTGCCTATGTCAAAGAGACATTATAAAAACTGTTTACTAATTTAAACTCATATAAAGTAAACTTTAAGAGCAATCCCCAAAACGAAGATCCACTCTTTTTAAAGTCAGGCCTATATTTCTGCCTGTGAAATACATATACATACATATACACATAAAACAAATAATTATAAATTTTTATATAGCTACTATATTTTTACATGTCACTAAAGAAAACAAGAATCATTAATATTCTTTGCTTGTTTCATAGCAACTCTCACTTGTTCTTGGCCAACTGTTGTTAAGTGTTGTCGAGTTGCTTCTGACTCATAGCAACTCTATGTAGGTTTTCCAAAGAGCGGCTGATGGATTTGAACCACTGACCTTGTGGTCCAGTGCATTAGGCAATTGTATTTTCAAAACCACACTCCTAATACAGCCTTTCCATTATTAAGAAAGGTTTTTCTTTTTTTTGGTTACTCTCTATGCCTTAGGTTTCTTACTCTAAAATAGAGTTCAGAATATATTGAGAATTACTATATTATGAGACCCAGAAGCAATTCAATTTCTTAACCTCCCTGGTAGTATTTTAACAGCTACTTGTATCTTTTAGAAATGACCACCCCAGTCAGTGGTACCCTATTGCTTGGCTACATCTGTATCAGCCTGGTCTTTCTCCTGCTTCTGCACAATCAGGAACACAGAGGGATGTGTTTACCATGTTGTTGGCCCAAGCAATCAAGTGGCCTCGCCACTTCACACTTCTTATGTTTCCTTCCCCTTCATGCAGAACAGAAGACTTCCATCTGCTCATCCAAGATCGTTCAAACAGCAGCAACTAGGGGCAAATAGTATAAAAACAGAATTTCAGAAACTGAGAATCAGGTATTAGATAACGTAACTACTATGTTTGACTACTCATGTGCCCAAATAACAAACATCTCAATCTCAGCGTATACTTAATCTGCAGTATACGATCTACAATTTGGAAAGGAATACCAGTTCATCGTATCCAGCATAGGACTTTGTTTTAAATGTTGCGCTCTGAAGTTACTACAGCGCCGAACCACAAGATGGCACCAAAATATCAGTATTCGTGAAAAATAAAGCCCATTAGTGATTCAGAAGTCATGTACCAGGGAAAGGTCTTCAATGATGGTTTAAGAATTCATTCATTTTGTAGCTTGGAAAATCAAAACCTCATAATTTTTCCCTTGAAAATAACACATACTAGTCATAGTTTAAACTATACTAGTTGGAAGAAGTCTATGTTTTTCATTTATACCAAGACAAATATTTTAATAAAATAGCCTTTGAGCATTGATTCACATCACAAAATAAAATAAATTTGCTGTAAGATTAAACTCCTTTTTTAAAAATTCATAGTAACTGGGATCTTTATTTTAACAGGAAGAATGCATACTAGAAATATCTGCTGGATAAATTTTAGTAAACAGAGAACTGGTCAAAACCTCTAAGTCTGATAATCACATAATCCTAGTAATTCATAAATTATTAAAGACACAGTAAAACATTTTTTTCTTGACATAATCAATTTAAATCCTTTAAAAAAAAGACATTATACAATATATCGCTTAAGGCAGGCAATCTTGAAATACATGTTTACCTTTTAAAAGCAAATGCTGGTAACAGAAAGTTTAAAATGCCTGTCATTAGAGGCAATTTCGGTTTGTTTTAGCTTATTTTTTGTGTTCCCTATCCCAAAATAGAAAAAGAAACAGCTAACCGAGGAAAGAGTAAATTCCTAGATATATTTCCTATGTACTTTTTTAATTGTTAGGTTCCTACAGTCAGAGGGAACACAATGAAACTCCATTATGTGTATATGCAAGTCGAGTGCCCCACTTTAAAACTCCATACCTGTATGGATCCGTTTGAAGGCCTGCATTTTCCATGCAAAAACAAGGTGACATTATAGTTCCTGCAGTGTAGGCTGGAGGCTGGGATTTTATTGAGCACATTCAGTTCTTTCTTCACATTATGTGAATCCTACACACTCTCAAAGGCCATGTATCCCACCTTCCCCTCTCCCATCCCATCTCTGAAGGGAAAAAGTGCCACCACCATATGCCTTCCTACCTCAGTTAGAAACCCTGGTGCTGAAGGTTAAGAACTCATCCACGAGGTCAGTTTGATTCATAAAGTCGGCGGTTCAAACTCACCAGTTGCTCCTCGAAAGCCCTCTACGAGGTGGCTGGGACGGAACTGACTTGACAGTTGATTTAACAATAACAAGGTGTGCCCTCTTTCTGTGAGTCAGTCCTCCCTCTGCTATGCACACAGAGACAGTGGCAGAAACTACCAAGAGGGACATATCACTGCAACAGGCCAAATGCAGAGGAAGGATGACTGTGCTGAGCACTCTGTGACAGGAGAGGTTTGAAATGTGAGAATGGAGGAGAAACCCTAAAAGTAATCCGATTATCTGAAAGATCCTACTCCACAACAGACAGGCAGTTAACCAGCATTGTATTAAACAAGAGGACTTTGTCAGAGCAAAATGCCCATCTTCCACCCATGGCTGGGATTTAATGGACACGACTGCAAGAAATGGGTTGGACACAGCGAGTGTTCAATAACCATCCACTGCATGGAATGAATGGCTGGATGGTCAGTAGAAACAGGTGGTGGACAAAAGCAAAAAAAAAATCATTCCTAGAAATGGGCACGGAAGCATCCAAAGGGGGAGACAATCTGCATTCATATGCTGGAAAGATTAAATATGCCCAGTGTTGAAGTAAAAATTCTGTGAAGTGTGGGGGAAAACATTAGGAATCCAGTAAAAAAATACCTTGAAGGCCTTGTGGTTCAATGGCTAAATGTTCAGCTGCTAGTCAAAAGTTGGCGGATCGAACCCACCAGTGACTCCGAGGGAGAAAAGACTTGGTGTTCTACCGTAAAGATTACATACTATGAAACCCTGTGGGACACTCTGACTCTCATCTACAGGGGCACTATGTGGTTTGATTTGGTTTGTGTGCTTACAATGCGACTGTTTACTACACGAAAATTAAGTAATTACCCAAAGTCCTTCACTTATTTAACCCTAAATGCCAGCTAGTAATTTTGACGTTATTCCCACCCCTGTCCTCTGAGACTCCTTAAATACAAACTATGCTGTACGCACAGAATTTAATTTATGCCATTCAAGATGACGTAGAGATTCGCAAAGGAGGGAGAAGGAGCAAAAATCATTCAGTCTTCGTTTGTTCATCTTAATCTATGGGAATTTCAAGCAGAAACACATTTTCTGGCAGGAATGCCAAGGAAAGTTCAGCTTCAGTGATTTAAGATAAGCTACTTCTCTTATGAACATTGTACACTAATTTAACTACCACAAAACTATCTGCCTGTATTTCACTGACATTTAATAAAATCCATTTCTTTCTTCTAGTCATAAAGCTGCCTAGAGACCCACTGAACATGAATGTTCCACAAAGCATTTGGGGGTGAGCCATTGAGCAATCCACCCTTAAAAGCAGCTGGCTAATTTGTTTGGTTCATCTTCCACATCCTGTAACATTGAATTGTCATTATCACAATACTAAGAGCCATTTAAGCTCAATGGGAGCTAAGTACCTAGAGAGGAAAAACTGTTTCCAAGAGGTCTATTTTTTTTGTTGAAGAAAGTATTTTAGGGCTTTATTTCCCATAAATCCACATTCTGGCAGTCAGCACTCTCTCAGTACTTATATTTCAATAGGAGCCCTCACATTCTCAGCAATATACTTTACTCGCCTATGTTTTACGCTGATAAATCTATCTACTGCTTTCCTATGCTGGAGTGCGGTAAGGATGCACAGCCCAGAATTTCCTATACATGTGGCAGGATTCCTACTGGGCTGTAATAAAGCCATGGATTCTGGGAGCTAACACCGCCATTACCTACCACCCACTTTTCCCTGAAGAAAGAAAGAGTATGATTGGCCCCTTTTTAATCATCTTGTGATCTCTCAAGTATATAAATCACTTGACTGCTCAGGCTTCTGGAAGGCGAGCAACACCTCTTGCTTTCAGCCATAAAAAAAGGCTGAGCGGTGGCATAAACCCATGGGAGTATCTCAGACATCAGCGTGTTCTCACAGGAAAGACAGGGGCTTGAGGGAACAAAGAGCCTGCCAAAGATAAACCGCCAACTCAGAGAAGATGCTGGAACTCAAGATAATAAAGTAAAGCAGGGAAATCAAAGACAAAACTAAAGCCCTGAGAATAAGAATGTACCAAATAAGATGGATGGGGAAGACTCATGACAATAGGGTTTAAAAATCCAAGAATAGATATGATTAGGGATAACATGAAGTATGTTAAAAAGGCCAGTGAGAAAAACATTAGAAAGGAGACCCCCAGGTATGGTGGCTACTGCTGAGTTGTTGTTGTTGGTGGTGGTAAGCACCATGGAGTCGGTTCTGACTCATAGTGACCCTGCACAGGGTTTCCAAGGCTGTAAATCTTTATTGGAGCAGAAAGCCTCATCTTTTTCCCACGGAACTACTGGTAGTTTCGAACTGCTGACCTTGGGTTGGCAGCTCAACTTGCAACCACTAAGCTACCAGAGCTCCTGCTGGGAATCTGGAAGGAGGTGGGGCCAATAAGCCACCAGCGAGCGAAGCAGGTCAGTGCCACCTCTTGCTTCCTGCTTTGGCTCAATATCACTGCTTAAAATGAAAGTAAGGCTTTTCTAAACACCACCAAGAGTGTTACTACCTACATCAAGAACGAACATAAAAGATTCAGGAAGAAAGAAGGAATATTCCTAATGTACTGTTGGTTATTTAAAAATAAATAAATTCAGTGGTGATTTTTCTGGGCAAGTTATAATACTTCAACCTCTTTTCCCTAAAGGTAATTGGACAAACATGCTACCATAGAAAGTCTCCATACACGGAATTATTTCCAGAGGTTATTTTCTTCAAAACAATATTTGAGTAAACACATTTGCAAGGCTGTGCAGAATTTGACAATCCTTTTAAGTTAACTATTACTGTGAAAACTATGTAGACAGAACAATGCTTTAAAAATTTAAAAGACTATTATCAACATAAGCAACTCAAGAAACACAACTTTCAGGTTCAATATGAACTAAAAGAAATGAAATCCTAAGATGTCGTAGAGCCAGTTTCCTTAATATAAAAAACTTAGAAATAGCAGATAGCTCTAGCTCTATGTATCAACCTACTTACCCAACCATATATGTTTAGCAATGAATTTTAACTGGTGGATGAGGTAGGCTCCTATTTAAACTAGCAATATCCAATTTTTATATAAGCAAACTTAAACTGCAAGCGATTTTAGATGATGGGAAGCATTAAAACATTTTTTGTTTGTTTGTTTTTGCCATCCCCACAGACTTAACAGAGCTAGTCATTAGTGCACAACATCTTGCAACTGGTTTCTAGTTTGCAGGTACCAAAGGATGCATTTCCCTGGGCTGAGCTCAAGGGTGGACACCCTGAGAAGCAGGGTAGAAAAAAGAAAGGTAATCATGCTCGGTCCGAGGAAAAGAGGAAGCTCCTCCATGAGTAAGATCCATACAGTGGCTACAAGAATGGATCACACTTGGGAATGCTGATGAGGATGCTGGGCAGGAAGGGTTTCCTTCGATTGTACATAGGGTCACTCTGAGTCGGAACTGACTCACCGCTACCTACCAACAACAACAATCCACTGGGTGATTAAACTTCAATGAATGCGCTGTATAATGAACAAGTAACTTTAATTTTAACTACACACAGTCTCGATTGTAGAAGAGGAGTGGAGGGAGATCCTTGGACAATGAACACAAGGAAAGAATGACAAACTGCTATCTTGATTAATATA